ATAGATTTTTAAAACTAATTTGAAACTAACGTTTAAAAAAGGTAACATATTCTTTCAGATCGTATGCAAAAATTGAATGTTACGGCGAAATAAATACATTTGGATAGTAAATCTACAGCAAGTCTGCAGCAGGTGGGGGAGGTTTGCTGTGGGTGCTGCAGCCCCCCCCCCCCCCCCCCACACACAACATTTTTGGATGGGGTGCTGGAATACACGAAAGCACCCCCTACGTTTAGTAGACGTGAATGCACATCCAACCACTCAGCAGTCAGCACCCCCTGGCCAAAAAAAGAAAATGCTCAAGTGGGTTTGATCTATAGGCATACAGCATTTGTTCCCAATACGTTTGCAAAATAAACACAATTATAAATCCCCCTGCGAAGCTTACATTAATTAACACAGAACAGCGTAATTTGTTTTTAGCTGCGGGATATCAGTTCAACAAATCATCATGTCTCTCCGTTAGTTAGTTAGTTAGTTAGTAACAAACGTGGACATTGTCTATTGCTCCGACATAATTATTTTGACCGATTTCAACCAAACTTTGTCAAAAAGTATATCAGTAGCCCAGTCCGAACATGTCACATGACCAAACTGGGGTCAAAGGTCATCATGTGGTCACTGCGTCAAAAACCTGATTTTTTTTTAACTCAGAACACTCCGCCTCCCAGAAATTACACGGCACAATCACGTGACTCATGCATGAACACGAACGTTGGCCTGCAGCCTTCCGAGATATTTTCGATCGAGCTTGTTAAGTAACATGAAAAAACTGCTTCTCTCAATTTTACGGACTACGCTATTTCGCTTACAATTTTCACAATGCAATTACGACACTACAAAAGTTTTAAATCCCGCTCTTAACGACCGAAAAATATGGCATTATAGACCGCGCATCCCGCTGTTGTTTTCTTAAACCCCAGAAAATCTCTTTCACACCTATCCAATTAGGTGTATTGTACCTGTGCGTCTTCCAGGCAATACTATTTAGGTCTCTTCTTTTACCGACTGACCTCGGTACGTCGTTTAACACACCGGTACCCCCCTCCATTTTAGTCTTACGAGGCCACGCCCAGCTGGGTGCTTTTCTTCCCCACCGGAGATCGATGTGTGTGAACTGTCAGCGTGGGGTGAAACCCCGTTAATTTAGTGACAGTCTAGAGTTTTATTTTCCTTCCCCCCCCCCCCAACTCAAATGCTTCACAAAATCACTCCCGTAAAATGATTGTTGTTGTGATCAGGGATGCAGGGTGGCTATGTTGTTCCTTACAATAAAAAGACATGTTTGTGTTTGGTCGTCTTTACGTCAAGCTCCATTGAGTTATGAAGAGGAACACCTATCCCGGATGCCTATCAAACCAACAAAACAACTGAAGCCTTCATTGTCGATAACAGTTCATAGTTTACGGTACGAAGGTAACTTCCGTTGTATCGCTATATACGAAAATAAACCGGGCAGATCGCTTGAATCTCAGAACTGCAAAATATCGTGAAAGATATAGAACAAATGAAAACACCTTCAGTGTTGGAATGCAGAACAACCTCGACGCTAGCGCGTCTAACAAAGTTTTCAATTTCGTGTATACACCTACGGCGGTCTACATGCTGCCAACAAAAAAGATGACAGGCTCATCATCAATTATGACACGCTGGAGTTTCTATAGCCAGTATACACTCAGCAGACGATGAATTCAGTGTGGAAGAATGCATTCTATCCATTGTGGCCCAAGATCCGTCGACCTGACAAAAGATTGTACGACACAACAAAGACCACCAACGGATTTGGCCGTGAACAGAACACATTAACCATTCCGAGGACCATCTTGTGATCATAGAAATATTATCCCGGAGCATGATTATCTCCTTTTGAGGCTGTCGCTGCAAGTATTTAAAAAATGCCCTGTTTGTTCTCACGAGTTCTTCGCCAGCACTTGACTGGGACTGATGAATTGGAGTGTCGGTAGAAAACAGAGAAGGTAGTTGCATGGAATTTGGAAACAACTTTTTGCGGAGGTGTAGTACAGTGCAGTGATCAATCGGCGCACTTCGTGCACAAACTAGCTGGCTTCCCAACTTGTGATCGGTTACACCCAGATCGGAATTATGCAGGCGGAGCGAGTGGTCAGTGCGGGGACCTTTGAGGCCGACATGGTGGAGATGGACGAGTTGGAATTGACCAACTTGGAACCGGTCCTGCCTCGGGATAACGAGATTCGTCAGAAAGCAGGTAATTAAATTTTAAAGAAACACTATAGAAACAAACATGAAAGAAAGACAAACAAACAGACCAACTTGAAATACATATAACAGTAAAACAAACTTCAGTGTCCTCAATAAGCCAGTGTGGAGATTTCGATTTGAACATTGGTTTACTTGATAAGCACAAGAGATTGGTTAAAAACGCGTACCAGAAAAACAAAACTTCTATTTGTCGTGACCTACTTTGGAAAATTAAATCGCGAAAAAGTGAGCACGCGGTGCTTTTGTCTTTTTGAATTTAAGTAAACAATATATATACACGCTTTTTATTCGGTGAAGATTTAAAATAATCCTCTTCCAATCTCACATTCTCTCAAGATTTTCAATACATATCATTTGTTCCTCCTCGCAACGTCTTTTAATGCATGGAGGTTTAAGACATGGATTCCCCGGCATTCGAATATTTAGCCCCGCGAATTCATGAGGCTTTCGCGGGGATCTACAGCCCAGAATTGAGTGACAACAAAGAAATTGGCTTTTCTGTATAGCTTGCTGTTTTTGATTTCCACCGGGTTGTTGTTTCAACATCAACCGCTTGATTCTGTGATTTTCTTCTTTTTTTAATTTTGAAAAGAACGAGGCGGTTGACTGTCAACAGGGACCGGGCGTGGATTACCCGGCGCAGCGCAGCGCGAAAATACCGGGGTGACTACTACAGTTACCCGGGCCCACTCGGCTACCAATTCGCGGTGAATGGACGCTGCCCCGTAATGCCGTGTTTTCCACTTCAATTCATATACCTTCAAGTTGCCATCTTGTGTGTGTTTTTTTTCCACGATGAAGGAAAATATAGAGAGGCAGCGGAATTGGCTGTAAATCCCCCTTGATCCTTTTAGAATAGAGATACATGCATGACACAAGCGAGTGATGCGAAAAAGCTGGCTACCCGAAGCTCGGGCTTATTTGAAATTCATGGGCACGGTGCTCCCCGAGGCCCCTTGCTCGGGCCCCGCGCTACGCGCTGCGTTTCCCCCGCCGCGGCGTGGCCGGTCGAAAATGCAATTTTCATTCCTGGACGGGCTAATCCACCGGACTGATGAGAAGCATCCGATTTTGTTTGGTTGGTAAACTCGCTCTTCGTATATAACTCTCAGCTACTCTTCCTCTGTCGTACACTGATAAAGAAGTCAGAAAATGCGAGAAACAAGCGTCTCTCAAATCAAACCAACAATTTCTTAACCTTGCCCGCGCAGGGGCAATCGTCCTTCAAACACGCGCATCTATCCCGCGGCAAAACAGGATGATCTTCGGTTTTTCGGAACTTATCTTCCAGAAAAACCAGGGCTCCATTACCGGTTTCCCCCACATCCCACCTTATTTACCGTTTTTCTCGACATTATCAAATTTCGATGCAACGGCTTAGGCCCGTAGCCGTGCAGATTGCGGTTGATCCCCGTGCTCCAAGGAACCCAAGACTCGCTCGAGCTCTCAATCCCGTAAACAAATTGACCAAATCTTCCACGTAAGCTTCTGTTCCAGTTCTGTCCGCAAAAATAAAGCGTTTTGTATGCAAAAATCCGGGGATTCCGGCTGAACTAGTTTTTCTTGCGGATCTGGGTGAAGTGATGCATATTTGTGACTGACGCAGTGGCCGTTCGAATGACGGTATCACGTCCAGATATTTTGTATAAACTTTTTGATTTCTTTGTTTTTAATTCCTCAGCAAAAATAATCCCATTTTGTCCGTGTTTGCCTGGGCTTTCCTGCTGGTAATCACCTGTCTATATTCTGTCATCAAAAAATAGGCCTAAATAATACAAAACAAGTTGTTTATCTATATCTCATAAGTTGTTATCATTTCGAAGGAAATAAATAGTCCGTTCTCTGTAAAATCTGGACTAAAATCAGCTTAGCCGTTCAGGCGTGTCAGATAAGGACAAATCAATTTCGATCTTCAAAATGTAAATTTAACGCGTAAGACGTCTTTAAAAAAATACTTAAGAATCACCAAACCATTTACTTTTTTCCCGGCGATGAAATGGGTTATTTCGATTCTATTTTGAACATTATCCTTTTGTAAACTCGTACATTATTGTCTTTGTCCATGTGACTTTACTGTCTATATAGCCAGGCAATTCAACTGTGTTACTCATAAAATTTGTTAGTTTTCTTGTAGGTTTAGAGGAAACTTAATTTGAAGGCAATATTCATCAGTTTGAGTGTGTGTGTCTGGTCCCTAGATCTGCTCCTGTTTGTGTGCAATAACTCTGGTGATTATAGTGACGATGATGATAACAGACATGATTGTGATGGGTGAAATTTCATAATAAAAACATTGTAAAAGTTTTGATCATTTTTAGTAAGTGCTGTTTTGGGGAACGCACGATGTTAAAATATGCACAACTTGTCCACATTTAGGTCACAGTCAGTTTAATTAACCGCACTTTTCAATCAATCGCTGTGTTTGAATCAAAACGAAAAGCTCAGTAGATTTAGGCGTTTCAACTGTGATACTTAAGCAGTACAAGTCTGAACTTCCTTTTCCACCATGGAGAAGCACCTGCAGAGGAGGGAATTAACGTCAATCGTAATTGATGATGGGCCGTAACGTAAATGACACGCGATCCCAGGCTCGCCATTGGTCAAGCATTTCACCTTAGGCCACGCCCACCCCCACTTTGCGCGTCCGATCTCCGTGACGTCATCCGGTAAGTTAACAATGAGGTGGAGTGAATGAAGTGAAGTTTTCGTATTATCTCCGCGTATTTTCTGCCTCTTTACCAAGGAAAATCTAAGGGGCACGGTCAGAATTAGACCGAGAACGCTGCATGTGTGTGGACTAGACACACAGGCCTTTACTTGACAAAATATCGGAGACTGGCTGGCATTGAGGGCGATTCGGTGCTGTGTGCCCAATATAAAGGGGTTCTGTGTTGTAGCTCACGTCGGGTGTCCACTGGCGTAGGTGGGAGGTGCGTGATTGCCTCGTTTTTACCGGTAAGGATCTGGACGCACAGACGGCAAGGGGAAAGCCCAAGCGAGACGGCTTACCGATCTAGGCCATTGAATCACCGTAGTTGATTGCATGGACTGGTTCCGTAAATCCCATCCTCAGGATTTTGCCTCTTTACCGTGAAGGCGTGTTTCAAGCAGGTACACTCTAACGACAAAGACGCTGTGGTTTTGTTGTTTCGAGAAGTCTATCTGCTCCATGCTGTCAGCGTGCTGTAGTCAAACCTGGTTGGACTTTGCTAGGCCGGTTTTTATCCCCCGGATTGCTTTGGGTCCGTCCCACTTTTCTTTGCGAGACTTCACGGTTGAGCCTTCTTCTCGTCATCCCTGTGAATCCTGGCAAGTTTATCAGCACTACGACAATCATCATCATCATCATCATCATCATCGAAGGCAACAGCAGTAGCCAGCAACGGAGCGTCATCAACATAAACACCCCGACTGCTGCGGGTTTTTTTCTGTCCCCTTTTCCTCTCTTCTATACTTCTTCTTCAACAACTCGGCCTAAATCCCAAGTCCTCCCTGATTGATATAAGTACACCATGAACGGCTTGAGCGATCCACTTTCCACCCTGGAGGACCTTGTGAGCGCCGAGTCGTCAGCTAGGCATCCAGCGGGTGCTTTGGGGAGCATGACGGCGGCGGCGGCCGGTGCCGAGTCGGCAGTCTCCCGCTACAGTCGGACCAATCCTAGCGTCGTGGCCTCCATGGGTTGCACGAGATTGTCTGTGGAAACTCACGGTATGCTGTACCCAATATTTCATCTCCCTCTCTAAAATTTCTTCTTCCTTATTACTTTAACAAAAATGTGAAACTTGCACCAGCATACTCTAGCTCTAGTCAGCTCGGTGCAAGTTTGACTTTTTACTAGTCAAATCTGACTTGAATGTTTTCACAATCTAGGCCTGTACATGGTGGTGCAACAAGAAAGAAACCCACTTTCGACAGCAATTTTAACCTACTTACTTATTTGAACTTTTTTTTATAATGTAGTGAAGTATAGCTGCTCTTCAACTAGACGTGGTGGAAAAAAATCTTTACAAAAATCGCAAGAATAGTGCTATTATGCTACTCTGAATATAAGTCACCAATATCACTGTTGCCCACGTGTAAGTCTAGTGTAGTGTTTTGTTGTCTTCAAATCAAGCTCCGGAGCTCAGTCAAGCGCATGAAATAAAGCCGTCCGTTGACAAACAGGTTTGACACATGAAATTTTAAAACTACCATATCTCAGAGACAAATATGTTATATATTTTTGGTCACTTATGTTTAAAGATCAATATATTAATACCATTAAAATGAATTTTTGAAATATGCTCGACAAGTAGGTGAAAATTGCTGTCACAAGTTGACCACCCTGTAGTTTGTTTTCATATTTACAGTTTCAAAATTTCCAATCGTAAACCTTTTCTTATTATTGTGTTTTATGTAAAGATTTGCCTCTGCAAGCTTCGACTTCTCATGATCATGTCTTCATCTAATATGATATTGTATTGATTGATTACCACTGTGCTTTTGATGGAAAGAACTGTTATTGAAATTAAATCGAAATTGAATATGAAATTATTAGGCATGCACCAAGTTTCTTAGTCAACTTACAAAAACATAGCCAAGTGTAAAATATGCGAAATGAATTTTAAACCCCCACCGTTATTATTCAGACAAATACACTGGAACAGTCTTTTTTTTCTTACTTACATCGCGATTGTCTTGTGATTTGATCGGATCAATCCTTAATTGTAGATTGCGTGAACAAATATCAGGATTATTCACACTGGTTTGAAGGTATTAAGAAGTTCATATAAATGTTTAATTAGTAGGGCAATACAGTTTACAGAATTAATTCTTCAGTCGTACTTCTCAAATATTTAACATTACGAAAATATTGAACTTGCGTGTGTAGTTATATTTTAATAGTTCCATAAGTTGTCTATGTAATGTTCTCCCAGTAGAGCAATATTCAGAACGACTTGATTTTAGTCATGGGAATATCGTGACCTTCGCATTGTCTGGTTCGGTCTTGCTGCAATTATTTCAATCGCTTGTCGACCTAAATTGCTGCACTTCCCACTCCAAATGGAAGCATAAAACGCCCGAATCTGAATCACACTTTTCGTAATTGTATGGACATTATTTCGTCTGAGACTTAGCTCAATAATAAGCCTTGCTGAAAATTGCAAGTATGGAACTCTTCCTTACCAAAAAACCTTAAATTTTTGAAATGATTGTTATTCTGAGTTATTGATGTGTGAAAGTCTGTTAATATTCAACCAGCGATATTAGTGAGGTAAAATGCATTTAATTAAAAAAAGCTTAATAGACCGAGACAGGTGTTACTATCTCAGCTCGAATTGGAGAGAAAACCTTTCGTTTTGTGAAATCCCTGCGATACTGAAAAATAATCCAGCAATTACCATATTCATTTGTGGAACCTTACGGGAACAAAGGTACATGTGTTTACACATATACCACATATTTACACCGTTTTCTTTTGCTCTATACCCCAAGAATTTCGAAAATGACGATTCCCCCTCCCCCGAGTTCGTCCTGAAGCACTGCTCCTCCAATGTCTCCGCTCTCATTAATGTTCCAAGTCAGTGTTAATCACTGCTAAACCACTACACCGCCTCTGATTGTATTTCCCGACGGACGGATATCTCTTGTTGTAGGCCTACATGATCTTTTAGTATAGGTTTTTTATATTAAGTTTTTTCTTTAAGATTACCTAGTTTTTTTTTATTCAAGATCACCCACCTTACGGTTAAAACCGTTTTTATAATGTGATTGTCGATATTCCTCCACCGATTAGAATGTTAATAGTTCTTCGTCTGAAGCGAATTAAGAATATCCCTTAATCCCAATAAATCAAATTGTATGTCGAAATAAAATTCCTGGGTTTTATTGAAGAACAAACCGTAGACCAAAGAAGGTTTCCAAAAAGTTTACTTGTTTCTATACAAATAATTATCTTTAGAGGAAGTGGCTGAAATATAATTTTAAAAATAAAATTCATTTTATGTGATAAAGTGGTGGTCCTAGCTGGCTTTTTGGACTATTTGTAAAAACCAAAAATAAAAGGGGACCAATAATTCCAAAATTCTTTCTCCATCTAGAAAAGGACATGAGCTCTTTGTGACAGACTTATTTCCCATGATACTCATACAATTCTACAGGATAAATAAAGAAAATAACGAAACCCAAAATGTCAGGACCATTGTTTTAGTGAAGGTGAGCGTTCTTTCAGCAAAATGAAAACAATTCACACAAATCTCTATGTGATATGATCTCGTTGTGCTGAAAGAACACTTACCTTTTTGTGATCCGTGGACAGAACTTTAAAATGGTGATTGTTTTTAAAATTCCGTAACTTGAAAAGTACATGAGCGATTTGAATGATTCTTGTACTAAAAGAAAGCTTATCAGTTTGGCTTTTATATATCGTAGATTTTGAAAGTGCTTCATGCAGAACTTCACTAAAACAATGCTCTCGACATTTGGGTTTCGTTTGTTTTTACTCACCCTGTATTGTACACCGGACTGAATCACCGTGTTTGTCGTGTGGTGCCTCCTGACACAACATGGCGTCTTGACACCTCACGTGTTTTTGTTGTCAATCCCCAAAGTCATGACCCCAGCGTGTTTGCGTCTGGCAAAAACAACTTCCGCCTCGGAGAAAAACGGGAGCGCGACAAAACCGTGACCCCAAATTTGTACCGGTTTCACCTTTGACTTTAGTCTGGAGAAAATCTGTACCGTTTCGTTTCTCAACAATTTCCTCTGAAAAAAAAAGACGAACAAGAAAGTTGAACAACAATAGCAGCGTAGCCATGTTTGGTGATTTTTTGTTCTACGGGAATACGCATGTGTAGACATTTTGTTAATTCATTGTTAATGAATTACCATAAGGAAAAAAACTTAAAGAATGCAGTTGAATGAAAAAATTCTATTAAATCAAAGCACACTAATTTCTCATTTTTTGTAATGAAGATAATCAACTCGTGAACCTTGTTAATCCAAAGTTATTCGATTTCTACTAAAACGATACGGCTGCGAGAAAATCAGTTTTTATCTGAGCGTTCTGCCTTTTTGGAGTCCTTCATTATCGACAATGTTGTCAAGATTTTTGACAAAAAGTGTTTGACTTTCGACTTGTGTTTTGAGTCCTAAAAACAATCACAAAATCAGAACAAATGGCTGTGGAAAGTCAGGGTTTCTATTCAAGTCCACGAATTGTGTTTGACATTGGAGTCCGCCACCACTGACAATAATTATACCGAGGTATTTTTTACCACCCAATAATGTTTTGTTTTTTTCCTTGTGCTTCCTTCCAAAAACAAACCACAGACTCAGCGAGTGCCGAGGATCAGGCCGTCGGGCCTGCGGACGAGGGAAGCGGGGATGGGGACGCGGGCAAGAAGCGGCGGCAGCGCCGACAGAGGACGCATTTCACCAGCCAACAGCTGCAGGAGCTGGAGGCCCACTTTGCTCGGAACCGCTACCCAGACATGTCCACACGGGAGGAGATTTCGGCTTGGACTAACCTGACCGAGGCTCGTGTTAGGGTGAGTGTCCACAGCTTTGACCCGTCGTTGTTGTTTGTTTATTTATTGTTTGTCTGTTGTTTGTTTGTCGTTGTTGTCATTGTTGCCGTTGTTGTTGTTGTTGTCGTCGTTTTTGTTGCTTTTCATCACTTGCTGTTGTTTATGTATGTCGAGTAATAAGACCACCTTCCTCTTTCTGTCTAAGAGTTATTTAGATAACCGCTAAAATATTTCAAGACCAACCATCTTTTAACACATTCAAGTTCGATCGGAAATATCTCGGAAGCTGCGGGCCATCAAATTCGTGTTCATGCATGAGTCACGTGATTGTGCCATGTAATTTCTGGAAGGAGTAGTGTTCTGAGTTTTAAACAAATCAGGTTTTTGACCCCAGTGACCCCATGATGACCTTTGACCCCAGTTTGGTCATGTGACATGTTGGGGTGGACTACTGATTTTTTGACAAAGTTTGGTGAAAATTTGTCAAATTATGTAGGAGCAATAGACAATGTCAACGTTTGTTACTTACTAACTAACTAACGAACTAACGGAGAGACCTGATGATTGGTTGAGCTGCTATTCCGCAGCTAAAAAAACCCAGGAAAAGTTCTTGATTGATGTAAATGTTACATGTAATAATTTTATTTGACACAACGAATGTTCTCAAGTTCACAAAAAGTGGATTTCCGACTTCTTTCTCTGAGCCATCAAGTGTGATCGTTGCAGACCAGTAAATAAACTGCCATAGACCTCAGTGATAATTACGGGCACTTCCCAAAAATATTAAAAATACTCACAACTCTCCGAGGTGTTCGAGACACCCCTCAAATTAAAGCTTATTTCATCATCTTTCATTTTCCGTTCAAGTTTTGGGGCATTAACAATGACTTTTGGGAGAAAATTCCATCCAAAGATGATCACCCCTAAAAGCAGTCCTGAATCCCATCGTCATTTTTCACAGAAATAGGAGGTCGCAGTTTTCTACACGGCTTCCACCTAACTTTTTTTTTTTTTTTTTTTTTTTACAAAATCCTCAAGTTCACGGCCCTCAAAATGCTCTAATACCGGATAATACTTTCAAATCGTGAGTTGGCCGGCGTAGGCAATTTTGGGCCTATTTACAGGTCTGCACCCAGATGCACCATGTTCTGATCTTCTTTAACAAGAGATTGTACAACAAAGCCTATGATTTGTTTTGAAAAAAAAAAATAATAATAACTGTGAAGACTGGACGGATAAGCCTATGTAGGGCTTCAGACTTGTTTTCGCGGTCACATAACTGTGTCAGCCGTTCCCTAGTTTCCTCAAATTGATATCATTTTTCCAGACGTTGATGTTTTGCCCAAATACCTCGCCGCGAGTTTCACACGTGAGGCCTAGAACCCATCAGTGTCAGCCAAGCTCAAGGAATCCTGGGCAGTACGACCTTGTAACGCAATGGCCATCAGTCGTGTCATTTGCGTGTGAGGGATTTCTTCCCCCTTGTTGGCTTAACTGATTCGTAATCCAGACATCTCGCTTGGGTAGAAAAGAAGAATGACCTTTGACAAATTGCCAATAAAAGAGGTATCTGTGTTACGAGATAATCTAGAATCCATATCGGGCTCACAGACGATCTCTGGATGAAATATTATTTCATGTGGGGTAACATAGTACAACTATAGCACTCGATCTTTTCCAGTTACTTTCTTTAAAGGGCACATGACATGAATTTTTCTTGGGAACACTTTTTGTGCAACTTTTTACTCTTCTTAAATGTATGATATCTATTAGGCACCCATTTTAGGCAGTGTTGAGTACTCGTACTCGAGTACAACTCGAGTACACACAAGTACTCGGCCCGTACTCGACTATCAGTACTCGAAAAAACTTTGGACTTGGCCCGTAATCGATTCTTCGTACTCGAATTTTGCACGGACTCGACGGTTTGGTACTCGGTACTCAACCCCAGTACTCGGGGGTACACACCGAGTACGTTACTCGGACTCGGACTTAGGAACTCGGACTCGGCCCAGTATTCGGCCTTGAATGTACTCGTACTCGGTGCTTTTGACTCGTCACAGTGTACTTGCACTCGGCCCTGGACTCGGCCCCTAAAGTACTCGGAGAACTCGGTACTCGGCTTTGAAGACTTGACTCCAACACTGCCTTTTGGTCACTTTTATCATAAAGTGCACTTTTTTGAACATTTAAAATTGTCCATGCGTTTCCTGACAAATAAGGGCGCTGTTGCTGTGATGTAATTTCAGGAAGACACTGTTTACTTAAGGGTTTTTCTGTTCAAATTGTGAACCCAAAATTTGCTCGTTGAAGACATTAATATGAGAAAACTTTGCTCATTGGTCTACTGTCATGTACCGAAACAACAACTAATCACCAAAGAAAAGGCAATTTGCGACAGCAAAATATCCGAATTCTGGCAAATTGTGGTACTGAAATAGATGTAACATTGAGGTTTCTGCCCGAAATGATATCACACCTTTGCTAATGAATATAGAAATTTGCATGAGCTTCAAAACCAAAAAGGTACCAAAATGCCCTTCAAAATGACAAAATGAAAATTGAAAATAAGGTAAAATGGGACACAAAGGTGCATTCTCAGGGTCTGCATAAAAAAAAATTACATTGGCCCTTAAATAACTTCGTGTTTCAGAGTCTGGCGCTCTACACAGTACTTCAGGACCTGGCAACATTAGAGAAAAGTCAACATTATAGAAATTTACAACAAATTATAAAAGTATGTAAAGAAAATTGAATTGTAGAAAGCGTAAACGGAACCGTGAGTTAGGTGATTTTTTACGCGGTCTTACACAGGTTGAGTCAAAAAGAAAGTGACCCGAATTAATGATATTTTTGAAATAATGAATTTTGTGATCTTCTTATGAAAATCGAGCTGACGTAACTTGGGAATGGGGTATGCAGATTATGTGAAATTTTCACAGTTACTAGTCAAAACCATGTATTTTATACCTGTAGTTTTTGTATGACATGGAGAGAGCCACATATTTTTATATATATTTTTTTCTGATTCTGTCAATTTTGTTTTGGCTCACCCCTGTAGATCATGGGTGAAAGTACTCAGGGTCATACGGTATATAGGCTGAGACAGTACATGCAGTCTCCAGTGTTTTCTAGTAGGAGTAGATAGTCCGTTAGATTATGTTCTTGTCATTCATCTGAGCATTAGAGCTTCCCAAGGCTAACAGAAAAAGTGCAAAGACGGCGTTAATTACCTATGTGTTAAATGTCACGCTTCGTGGCCTTCACGCTTGGCTAGGATCTGAATGAAGGTGTGTTAAAGACCTCACTCCATTGACGACAACATGCCGTTCCCTCTAGTCTCGTCTTATCTCGCCCCTTCTCGTCCTATCTCGTTGTTGACCTGTTTCGCATCGTGTCGATCTTTACCGTGTCGTTTCGCCTGATGTGATCTCGTCTTGTGTAGTTTCATCTCGTCTTTTCTCTTTTCCTTATCATCGCGTGATCCTGAATTGTTACGTCTCGTTGTGTTACGTTAACGTCACTTACGTAACGTTATAGTTACGTTACGTGTTGTCTTAGTCAATAGAAAGCAGTTTCAATTTAATACAGTGCACCAACGTAGATGGCAAATTCAATTATCGTATTTTTCGTCATGTCTCAGTTTTTTGTACTGCTGGCATCATTTTCTTTGATTCGATCGAGACAGAAAGTCGCTAAAAAACTGCACATTTAGCGTACGTCCTCATTGCTTATACAACATATTTTAATAAAATACCACAATATATAACGTATTAACCCAACTTCGGTCATGGTATAAAACAATATGATCTATAAAAGCCAAAAGTGACTTCGTTCTTCTCTGCTGAAATGTCTTGTAAAAGAGACGGAGTTTCAAGAAACACGCCTCTGTCATTTCTCTGAACAATGAACTTTCACCAAAGAGTATTACGGAAATATTTCCGAGTGCGTACTCATTAACAAAAACTGTACTTCAAGTTATCAAATTTCTCCACACTGAGTAATCCATCCCCAAACCGGAACCTGAACCGCCAAAACATTGGAGGGATCACGTTTATACACATACAATTAATTTTGGAAATCCAGCGGGCCGGAGATGTACAAGACACGGATTCGGTTTCAATTCATCATCAAGTACGACTTGGCCCCCTCTGCGTTGGTATCAACCGATAATCTTTTAGTAGGATGGCGGGCGGTCTTGGAGAGATTGCGTTTCGTGTTTATAGAGAATTGGTTCCGACTGAAAATATAGAGAACGTAAAACAATCGCAGATCGTCGTAAGAGATAAAAGGGTCACTGTCTTCTATTGAACCGGTCGATTTGAAGCTGAAAATTACAAGTAGGCTAAGTTACACATAATTATTACACTCAGTTTTTGTTTCAACCATAAGCCGAATGTTTAAGTAAATGAAGAGGATTTATCTTTTATTTTATTTTCATGTGTTCATAAATATTTGACATAACTTACTTTGTACAAATCGCTGCGATTTTTGTCAATTTTCTTATTTTTTTAAAAATAGTAAATGCAGCTAAATAAACCCACACATACACACTGATACACGCGTTACATTCACTGTGTGGACTTCCGAACAAAAGAGGACCTCATAAACCTGGTAGCAGCAGCAGCGACGTTTTGCGGACTTGCCCACGTCCACACAGTGTTTCACCTCTCTGGAAAACAGGTTTAGAGGCATTTTTGGGTTAGGTTTATCAGTGGCAAAATGAAGAGAAACACTAAAGGGAATCATGGAAAAACAAAATGAGTTGAAAGAGTTTTGACAGTGTGAGTATAAACGAAAACAAAGGAATGTCCACACTATGTAGTAACGCATGCATTGTGTCTCTACGCTTCTGATTTCTTTATTTGTACATTTCGCTTGTAAGTAAAGAAAGAAATTATTCGCCGTTTTGGGCACTTGTGTATGTGAACTGTTTGAATGGGAATTGAGGAAACATTGACAGACAATTGGCAAGGTTGCAATCGGCGAAGAACTCGAGACGGTGGTCATATCTGCTGGGA